GGAGCAGGGAGGAGCGCTACGCCCGCGTACAGGAGCCACACGAGGAGCGCCGACGCGTCCATTGCGATGTGGAGAACTCGGTCGGTCTGAGTCGGACATATTTGGTCGGTCGGTCGGTCGGAGAAGGTTACGAGCCGCGTGAAGTGGTGTGGGGGACACAATGTGGTGTGAACAACACGAGCTGCTGACGTCTCCGACCGACCGACCGACCGACTGACCGACTGATTGACCTCCTCGACGGGCTGAGCGGTCATGCGCAGCGGTTGTCTCAGCTATGAGAAGTTCTGTACCGAGGGCGACCTGCTGCAGCGGCGGTCGCAGGAGTTGGCGAGTCGTCAAAAAGTGGGTACTGAGAGTCGTGTGGCGACGTGGGAGTGGCAGACGCGGCGGTCGACCGGTGAGTTGCGGAAGTGCGCAGGAGCTGCGCGTCGTGGACGTTCTCTGATGCATAAGGCTTTGGCTCAGCGGTGGCAGCACTTGGCTGGAAATGCGTACCTCGTGTCCAGTGGAATTGCTCGACCGTGTTCACCGAATGGTATGAATGGTACGAATGTGGTGATGACTCGACACGTACGTGACGACGACGACGACGTGAAGGAGCAGGAGCAGCTGATTGAGGAGGTGAGCACGCTCTACCGTTGGTAGTGGTAGACTGCAACTTGTAGGCTGTTGCATCTCGTTTTTCATGATGGTGTTGTTCGTCAGGACGCATGTGCGGGTGACGATGAGATGCAGACGACGGTGCAGCACCAGCAAGACGAGAGAGTACTGCTTTGCTCGAGCTCCACATCGTCTACCACACGATCTACCAGACACCTGTGCTGTACTTTCGGGTATTTGCAATCATGGGACGCCGTTGCGAGCCTCAGCGATCACCCGCGACGTGGAGTTTCCTGGCTCGACCTGTCGATCGACAGTCATTGCGATGGAAGAGCACCCGGTGCTGAACCGACCGTTCTCGTTTTTGCACCCGTGTGAAACGGCAGCAGCGATGCAACTACTGCAAACTCAAGTGGCATTGCATGCTGGCGCAGAGACCAGACCAGCGGTTCCTGTGCCGTGGTACCTCACGAGCTGGGCTCAGTTTGGTCCAACCTGTGACTGGCATAAGTCCGCATGATTACTATGCTCTATGACAGGATCCGTCGCTTCGTCGCCACACTTTGCATCTCGCAGACGAACCGATGGCTACCGAAGACTCGACAGCGACACGTGCCCCCAAGAAGTAGGCCACAATGACGTGAACGCTGCTGAGCCGTGAGGAAAATCAAAAAAAAAAAAACCGCATACGGCTGTGCTCTCTATGCGCGCTCTTGTTTCCAGACAGCGCACTGGGGGTCCACTGTCAACTGCCGCATCCACAACCGCTCGAGCCAAGTTTGCGTTCGGATCGCGACTTCCTGATGCAACGGAGAGCAAGTTGAAGCGGCCGAAGACGGGTGGGAATCGGAAGCACCAGCTGCTGACATCTCGAATGCGGTGGGAAAACAGTGTGCGGACGTTGACTGATGTTCGCACACGAAGGAGGTCCGCCTCACAAGACTCGGACGAAGCGACGACGTCCGAGACGAAGCCCGTGTATCGAAATACAGCACTGTCTTCGGTGAGCAGTCGTCTGCCAGCTCCGACAAAAGTGCCGCAACAGTTGAGCTACAGGAATGGTTCGTCGAGACTCAGAGAGCGGGGTGGCCCTGATGAGCAAGAGCGAGTTGCAGACTTGGGTACGTTCGGAGCATGTTGCAGCGTCGCGCTGGTGTTGCGGCTGCCTTCCTGACGCATCTTGTGTTGTGACTGTGTAGAAGCAGCTACGATACCTACGTTCTGGATAAAACGGCGGAAGGAAGTAGAAGCAGCGATGAAGGAACTGGACGCGGTCGGGTACGGATGTGTCGATGCGTCTTACAAGCAGCTCTCAGCTACTGCATCGATGGCCGGAACTGATGCTTTGCTGCTGACTTGTATGCTGGTTGTGATGGCATTGTGCAGGGAACGAATCATGGCGATTAGTAGCTTGCGCCCCCTAGCGCACGCTGGAACTCGCTCTTGTTGTTGTTCACGTGTTTTGTAGCGATGTATACTATGCCTCCATGCCATTTGTAGCGTTGGACTGAGCTGAAAGTCAAAGTGCGTCGGTTGTTGCGTCGGACGTCCCGTAAGCAGACTCGTCTGACGAATTGGACGGAAGAATGTTGGCGGATTTGCGTTCCCGCTCCTGGTACAAACGATGTGTGTCCGACCTTGGAGGAGTCCTGTTGGACACTGATGGAGTCCTGCTGGCAGGATAGCTTGACCTGTCGCTAACAACACGATCGCTGATCGCCTGTACGGTGAAGCCCACTGCAACCTCTCTCGACGCACCATACCTCAAAGGAGCGTCGTTGCGATGTCAGACAACGTGGCTGCCACGTTTTCGACCGCGGCGGATGCAGGAGGAAACTTAGGGGTGTGCAAAGCTGTGTCGGCAATGCGGTAGCACACCCATCAAGCAGGTTGCGTCGAGGAAAACACCACAATGTCACGTCCTCTCGACACGCGCGCACGACTGTTTTTCGTATCCGTTGGACAAACAGACGCTGCGATCGGTTTTCGGGGAATGGCCTGCAAAACAGCATTTCGTCCGACCAGTCGAGTCGCTAAGTACAGGTCGTCAAGTCCCGTCCCGTCAATGTCCCAGTGCCTCTCACTCAGTCGCTTCCTCCCTCTTGTTGTAAGGGCAAAACCCACCCGTTTTGTCGCAATTCGTTTCAAACGTCCCATTCACCCATTCACCCACCCAATCACCCATTCACCCACCCAATTACCCACCCAATCACCCACCCAATCCATTTATTCCTTCCTCCCCACATCGCCACTATCAAACTCAGTGCCACTTCGCGCAATAACAAAAGCGCCTCCAATCGCTCCACCTCTCAAAAGTAACTCCTCGTCGCCAACCAATGGCCGAAGCCCCACAGAGCGCGCTGTCGTCACTGTCTGCGCTATGCGTCGCCCGTCTTGCGGCAGGAGCTCCCCAGCGTGTGCTGCTGCGCGTTCTGCGGTACGTTCTTCGCTCGTGTCCCGTTGCGGCTCTCAGAGAACAAAACCGAGTGACCGAATAACCGCTCGATCTGTCTGAACACTCCAGTCGCCTCCCGGAAGAGCTCGTGCTGACGCTGCTGGCCGACATGATCGCGTCCAAGACGCTGACGGACGACCGTCTGGCTGCCTTTTTTATGATCTCCCGTCGCGTGCTCACTCTGTCGGGCTGTTGCTCGATTCGTAACTCCATCTTACGCCAAATTCCTTTCCGCTGTCCGGAGCTGGTACGTGGATCGATACTGCTTTGTCCGCGCCCGTGCAATGGCGACACGAGCCTGTGCTTACTCTGTCATTGCGTGATGGTACACCAGCGCTGCTTGGACCTCTCCAACTGCACTCAAGTGACCAACACAGTGGTCCGCGCGGTGCTCCAGGGCTGCTCCAGTTTGCAGACGCTGCAGCTAGCTGGATGCCGCCACATTACAGACGCTGCATTTCAGCCGGACCACTCGCCCTTTTACGCGCTGCACGCGTGCACGTCGCTGAAAGTCGTGAGTTTCGCGCGCTGCTCCCAGCTGACGAAGGACCTGGTGCTGTTCTTGATCAAAGCTTGCCGGTCGCTCACTGACATTGACTTTTCGCACTGCAAGGTATGTGTTGTGTGCTGATGTGGTCATTGCCGACGCAAGAATGGGAAGTGGCGAGGTCGGTCGTCTAATGGCGATGTGGATGTCTGTATGGTGTAGCACATTCGTGACGATGCAATTCACCTGCTGCTTCGCTCAGCGACTGACCTGCAACGACTGAATTTGTCGTTCATGGACATCTCGGACAGTGCGTTCACGACGGAGCCGTCGGACCAACGCAATGGCTTTAGCGCCATGGGCCGGGCGTTGCGTGCCATTGACCTCACTCGGAGCAACATCACGGACGCCACGCTGTTTGCACTGGCCAAGCACTGTCCGCTTCTCGACGACGTCAAGCTCAGCAGCTGCAGCGGAATCACGGATGTCGGCATCGAAGCGCTTGTGCGCTCTTGCAGACGCCTGCGCAAGTTGAACCTGACCAACTGCGCGCTGATTACTGACCGTGGCGCCGGCATGCTCGGCGCTTATGGTCAGCGACTGGAGTGTCTGAACCTCTCGTGGTGCATGAACATCACTGACAAGAGCGTTGTGGATATCGCGCGTGGCTGCGAAGAGCTCGAGGAAGTGCTGTTGATGTGGTGTACGCAGCTCACGGATGCTTCGGTTGACGCGTTTCTTCCCGAGTCCACGTCGACATTAGAGAGCGTGGCCCCGGGAGGAAAACGGCTGAAGCTCAATCTCTGCGGGTGCAAGTGGATCAGCGCTGCACGTATAGAAACCGCGCGCGAGCACGGGCTGGAGATTGTCACAGCATCGTGACGCATAGCGTGAGGCAAAGTTTGTGTTTGCAAGAAGGCTGTGCATCTCGATGATGCGTGGCGGCGTGTAGCCATTTATTTAATATATGTGTGAAGACGGCGCTGCATTGGAGTAGATGGCTACAGGTAGAGTGTGCTCACCTTTTGTCATCGACCGACGGGCTGACTTTGTTTCGACCGAATCGGTTGTTTCGACTCGAAAAATGTGCGAGAAATCTCACTTTTTCTCGCTACTTCACACGCAATAAAAGCGCTTGTTTTCACAGACAAACGAAAAAGCGTCGACGATTTTCTAACTGGCAAGTGGTGGTCAGTTAAGCTTTTTCTACAAAAAGCAGCTGCTCGTGCTCTGGCCATTTCTATTTGCTGTGCGCGTCGCTGTCGCGCGCGTCCCACGTGGCACTCACTCATTTCTATCTCGACCGCAACATGTCGTGGCGGCGCTTCGACCTCAACGTGAAGGGCGTCGAGGGCATTCAGGAGCGCACGATCGGCGGCGGCATCGTGACGCTCCTGAGCTGCGTGGCAGCCGCTTTCCTCCTGCTCTCGGAGCTCTCTGTGTGGTGGACAGTGAGCGTCACGCACCGCATGCACGTGGACACGGACCCAGTACGTCCGCTCGTGTGTGTGTGTGTGTGTCCATTCGTGCTCGTACTTAAGACGGAACAGCATCCTTTCTACTTGTCGGCCGTGGTCGGGTATGACTAACTGAATGTATGGAAAGCAGCAAGATTATCCCATCAACGTGGAAGTGGATATTTCGTTCCTCCACGAGGCGTGTCAAGGTGCTGCTGCTACTTCACGTGAAGTCGTCATTCTTGGTCAGATCGAAGGACTGATGGGACATGTTATTCTGTGCGTGTAGAGGTGGCATTGGACGTGAGTGACGCCAAGGGCAATAAGGACATTCTGCTGAATCAGGACATCAAAGAAGAACCGTTCGGAGTCGACGGATGTCGACTCTACGGCACAGTGCAAGTGCAGAAAGTGGCGGGCGACCTGTCCTTTGCGCACGAAGGCTCACTCACGATCTTTTCGATCCTCGAGTTCCTCAACTTCAACTCGTCGCACGTGGTCAATCACCTGCGCTTTGGTCCGCAGATTCCCGACATGGAGACGCCACTCATTGACGTCAGCAAAGTTTTGACGACGAACTGTACGTCGAGGGACCCCACTGCTTTTGCATACGGTCGTTGCTGAGTGCTTCTAATGGCCAATGTGTGTGGTGTGTACAGTGGCAACGTACAAGTACTTTGTGAGCGTTGTGCCCACTCGCTACACGTATCTGAACGGCAGATCCGTGACGACGTTCCAGTATTCCGTGACGGAACACGAGATGAACTCACGGAGTCCGAACGGTCAGATGTCGTTCCCGGGGTAATATTCTCGTACGACTTCTCGCCCATCGCTGTGCAGTACGTCGAGTCCAAGCCGTCCGTGCTGCACTTCCTCACCAGCACAAGTGCCATTGTCGGCGGCGTCTTTGCTGTCGCGCGCATGATTGATGGTGCCATCTACAGCGTTTCCAAGAAAGTTGACTAGCTGTGTCTAGGCTGGGACAGCTATTGATCGTTGCAGCGTTGCGTCTGCCGACGTACTAATTGCAGCGACAGCTAGATAGTTGAATGGCTCACGACGTGTCAGCCGCAGTTGGCTGAGTTGTGGCTCATGTAAGGAACTTTCCATATTGTACACGTGCTGCCCAACAGCTTTAGCTTTCTGCTTTATACGGACCATGAGACGGCGACCGCGAGAGGTGCGCAGCGCTTTTTCGTACGGCCTCTAGTCGCTGTTGAAGCTGCTCCTCCCGCGTCAGTCGGAACTGCTTCCGCTCGACACTACCGTTTGGCTCGCTGTCGTCTCCCTTGTCCACAATGTCGTCGTGAAGCGAGGACACCAGTGCCATGGCCTGCTGATCAGGCAGCTCGTTCACTACAGCGGCCACGTCAAACAGGATCTCTTGTGCAAGGTTCTGCTTCTGGTCGCGCGTGTCGAACACGATGGCCGCGTACGCCAGCGCCGTTTTTTCCACCACGCGGATGACCGCGGCCAGCGGTAGGAGGCCAATCGCATAAAGGTGGAAACTCGCACCAATGTACGTGCGGAAGGAGTGAATGCCGCTCTGGTTGCACTCGATACCTCGATAGCAGTGCTGGCTCAGCGCTTTGTTCATGGCATGATTGCGAATCACGTCGTGGATCAGCACGGCGGACACAGCGTACAGATGGGGACTCCTTAGCAGCTCCTTGCCAAGATCAATATCGCCCTGACCATTGTCGCCGACAAAGACAAACTGGTGCTCGGCAAAGACTCGCTTGTACCGCACAAAGTTCTGCAAAGCAAACGCTGTCAGCAACGTACGTAGACCCTCAGACTTTGTAGCTCGTCGCTCACCCGAAGCTTTCCCTGACGCAATGCGTTGCGAGCCCCACATGCTTGTAAAACGACCCATCAAGACTGTGCCACGACACGTGTCAGTGCTATCAGCCGCAAGTCCCACGACGTCGCACAGACAGTATCACGTACGAGTAAAGTGCTGGAAGCCGCATGCTCGGAGCTCTTGCAATGACCGTTTGCGCAAAAACTCAGGCCTGGCAGTGAGGAAGGCCACGCGTTGCACGGTTTTGCATTCCCTGGACCTGCCGCTTTCGAGGTCTTCGCAACTATCGCTGTGGTCGTCGTCAACACCATTCGTAGAGTTCGACGCTGACCGCCGAAGCAATTCCTGAGCGAACTGGTGGACACCTGGGTACACTGTCAGCTCTGGATACCGCGTGTCAAAGAGAGCAGCCAGCATTGTATCGTCGATATCGCTTCACAAGTTCAACAGACAGAAGCGTCCGTCAGTCAGGTAGCCCACGCACGCATACACCCCCTGAGCCAGGCATTACTAGCACATCGCACCACAGCAGCTTCATTGGAACGAAAAACGTCGAAGACGTCCGCAGTGCCATCGCCTCCGTCTCAAAATGGGTCAAAATCGCTTCTCGGTCCACGTCGGACCGGATGCGGTGGTAGATCAAGTCGAACATGGGGAACTTGGCGTCCACCTCGTCCTTGAGCTGCAAACACGCCACGTCTCGCTTGGCACAGAAACAGTCCCGGACACACGTGACGACGATCGGCTCAGCTGCAAACTTCTGCAGCGACAAAATGATCGTCGCGAGCGTAGCCACACTCAGAGCCGACAGCTCCAAGCGCGAGCTGCAAAACTGCGCAAAGTGCTGCGCTTTGACGCTCGAGTTCAGCAGCCGGTGGACATTGATCACCTTAATGAACGCTTCGATCTCGCGCGGGGTCTCGCACCTCGCCAGCTCTGCGATCGTGTCGGTATACAGCGGCACTTTACCGGTATATCGGACCCCTATCCACATCACAAAACCACATCGCAGCGACACCACATAAGTCAGTCCTCGCTATGAAGTAGCAATAGCAGAACCCTAGTCGCCACGCACGGGTTTTACGGTCCACTGCGAGCAGCGCCTCGCGCTCTCCGTCTGAGCCCGAGAGCGTACCATGTGCGCGTCGAGGCACTTTGAACGACGAACGCAGCACGCGGAGAGGGTTCACGCCGTGACACAAGAGCGCCACGCAGACAAACACGAGCAAAAGGACCACAAGCCCCACAGGCACGGCCACCTCGAGCTCCTGCGCCGCCTTCATGAATGCTCGCGTGAGTAGGGTACTGCTACTTTTGCAGGCGACCGCTATTTTCGGCCGGGACCGAAAATAACGATCCTGGACGTTCGCACTACTTTTGACCACGTGAGGTGCACCACATCACGCGATGTTCACGTCGAAGGCCCTTCGGCGGCCGCTGGCGGCGCGTTCGGCGCTTCGGACGCGTCGAGTTCGGGCGTCAGGAGGCGCTGCGGCGCTCTGCAGCACTGGCCAATGGAATAACGGGACGCTGGCGACGCAGCTGCAAAAGTGGAAGCAGCAGAAGCAGCTCGAGACGACTGAGGGCTCAGTGCAGTACCTGTCGGTGGACCGCTCGGCACTCAAACGGCCGAGTAGCGCGTGGACGAGTCAGTTGGACGGAGAGATCGATGGGAATGCGACAAAGAGTCAGGCGAATGCACTTGTGCACGTTCTTCGCTCGATGATTGAGGTGAAAGGACCGCTCACTGTCGCCGAGTTCATGACGCGTGCTGTGGGTCATCCCGACTATGGCTATTACATGAAGAAGGACGTGTTTGGCAGCCAAGGGGACTTTACCACCGCGCCCGAGATCAGTCAGATGTTTGGAGAGCTCATTGCAGTGTGGTGCGTGGCGACGTGGCAGCAAATGGGGACGCCGAGCCACGTGAAGATTATTGAACTGGGGCCGGGACGAGGCTCTCTCATGAGCGACTTTGTGCGTGCGGCCAAGTCGTTTCCGCCGTTCTACGATGCGTTAGAGATTCACATGGTGGACATTAGTCCAGGTACTTTTGTTGCGAAAAGCGAGAGAGGGAGAGGTGATGGCGTCGAGGAGTCAGCACTCAGCAGTTGCGTGTTTTGTGCGTATTGTATTCGTTTGCCAGCCATGCAAAAGATCCAGAGAGAGACGTTGCAGTGCGAGGCAATTGAGGATGATGCAGCCTTGGACAGCACCATGCGGCTTCCCGATGATGGACCGACGGTTCGATGGCATGGAGACTTGGCGAGCGTTCCGCATGGTCCGTGCTTGATCATTGCTCAGGAGCTTTTTGACGCGTTGCCGGTGCACCAGTTCGAGTACACTGACCGGTGCGTCTGACCGTTGGTTCTTGTCTTTTGGCGGAGGAAGCAGTCGTAGTGTGGGCTGATGTCTATGATGCTGTGCTTTCGACGGTCTTGGGTACTCATGTTGCAGAGGCTGGTGCGAACGCCTTGTGGACCTCGACTTTGAAGACGGCGATGACCACTTTCGCTTTGTGTTGTCGCCCGGGCCAACGCCAGCCACGCGAGTGTACATTGGCCGCGAGAAGCTGTTTGACCCGTCGACTGCTCTATCGCCCGTGACCGAGACGCACGTTTCCAGCGTGGAAGATCTCGAGAAGATGCAGAGCGCTGCAATTCGGCGCCTCGATGTGGCAGACGTGGCGGACACTCCTGTGCGCACCGCACAGGCTCAGGTCGGCGACAAGATCGAGATTTCTCCAGTCGGCATCGCGTTGGTACAGGACATGGCCAAGCGTATTTCGCGGTCAGGAGGCGGCGCGCTGATTGTGGATTACGGGTACGACCACCCGTCCGAGCTGAGTCTGCGTGGCATCAAGAACCACGAGTTCGTCAGCGTGCTGCGCGAGCCAGGTGACGTCGATCTGAGCATCGACGTGGACTTTGCCACTCTGCGGCGGTTCGCGACAGCAGAGTCCGCGGTGCAGAGCTCGGGCCCGGTCGGCCAGGGCGTGTTCTTGAAGAACATGGGCATTGAGCATCGCTTGGCCATGCTGCTGCAAAACACCGAGTCGGAGAAGGTGCAGCAAGAGCTGTTTTCGTCCTATGAGCGTCTCGTGAAGCCAGGGCAGATGGGAAGCGTCTTCAAGGTCATGGCGCTGACGCACACGGATGTTGGTCAGCCCGTAGGTTTCGAAGGGGAACCAGCCACGCCAGCAGCACCGTGATGTGGACTGCTCACTGTAGTGTGTTACTCAGCCTCAGCTGTCGGACCCCCTGTATGGAGGTATACCCCCAGCTGTCTGCGGATGGATGCACAAGGCTTCGGGAGCTAGACCAGGAGAGGACAGCAAACCGTAACAATTACACGTCGAGCGTTGCACCAAACAAAGTCGTAAGTTATACCGTTAGCAGTCGACACTACTCGGCAGTCCAGCTACACAGCTACCACTGCGCTCTTCGCACTGCGCTTACAGCTTCAGCGGACCGTGGTTCGGTTTGTACTTTTCGTGGTTGCCGTCCACAGCCAGCGAGCCGTTCGCACGCATCTCAGCGTACAGCTCTCGTTCGTACTTGGTAAAGCCCCACTTCTTCGAGCCGAGGACTTTCTGGCGACCAGGGAATTTGAACTTGGCACGACGCAGCGCTTCAACGACCGACGGACCGAACGAGTCCTTCGAGCGCACTGAGATAATGGGCTGACCAATGGACACGCGCGCAGCCACGCCCGCCGGTTTGCCGTAGGCGTGACGCATACCCGTCTGCAGTCGATCGGCACCAGCGCACGAAAGCATTTTGTTGATACGCAGCACTTGGAACGGGTGGCAACGGATGCGCATGTGGAAGTTGTCTTTGCCGCAGTACTTGGTCAGGTACCGGTTCGCGGCAATGCGCGCCGCTTCGAGCGCCTCGGACGACAACTGCTCCTTCTCGTCCGAGACCAAGTGCGCCACAAAGGGGAAGAGGTCGACCGACGCCTTCTTGTTGCCCACGTCGTAGATGCGGATCTTGGGGTCCGGCACGCCGCGGCAGTAGCGGGACTTGATGAACGGCTTCTTGTTCTGGAAGCGGTAGCACTTGGCAGGACGACGACCCATTGTGGTGACTGGTTTGGCGAATCGCACACTGTCGGACGCGCTCGAGGAGGTCCGTTCGTATGGCTGCGGCGGCCTCTAGTCCAGTCAGCTGCTCGCGTCGCTCGACGGCGCGGGATTGGCCGATAGTAGAGATCCAGGAGCGCGCGGGCGGTCGTTGATTGGCAGAAACGTTTCTGACCTGCAGGTCGCCTCCCTACTGTGCTCGCATGATGACGTATCGACCGCACGGGATCACGTGGTGTCCTAATTTGACATGTCGAGAGGCCGTTGCTTCGAGAGCGGGGACAAGACGCGCTACTGGTGAGGATGGACGACGTAACGACTGCGGACGATTGGGATCTGCTCCCTCTCCGCACGTGTATAAGAGCAGATTCGATGTCCCAAGTAGGATAAGAGTCCTGAGCGCATATCAGCAACAGCGCAGCTATGATCTGTTCGCAGGTGCGTGAGGTCTGTGGTTTCGTGCGTTTGTAACTGTGTGGCAGAGAAACGCGTCCCGTGCGTCCATGAGAGCCTCATCTGACTAACACGTGTCGACCCTCTCTGTCTGCCAGACGACAAGGTGGCGCCTGAGCTGCAGCTTCTAGCCGACTTCGTTTTCCATCCGAACTTGACGCTTGACGTCTGCGTGTATCGATGAATCGCCCCATACTCGCTCGCACGATCTACCTGCGCGTCTACTCCCGTACCACCGATATAGACTGCCTCGCCATCGTGGAGGCGTTTCCAGCTGGTTAAAGGCTGAGCATGTAGCAGATTCGCTCGACCCTACAAGGTGTGAACGCCATATGCGCATCTTGTGTAGCAGCGCATTTGACACCGGGGATCAGCATTGACAAGCGATAACTGGTGTTGCATCTCACGCGCTCGTTCACCTTGACACACTGCAAGCGATAGACGTGAAAAGGATGCACCATTAGGCAACAGCCCATCTAGACAGCAACTCGTGCTGCTGTTGCGTACGGTAATGACCGAAAGCAAACAAGCAGTAGCTTCGACGTTGTTGATGCTTACCGCGTGACACATCACCGCAGATTCACTGCGCCTGTGGGGACAGCAATGGACAGCATTCGCCCCTCGTGCATTGTCAGTCATTGCCACATCCGAAGGCACTACACGAGAAAGCTGTGGAAAAGCCGCTGCCGTGCAAATGACTGGTGGTTGGCAACGAAGCAAAGCTGGTAAGCTACGCGTGTAGGGCGAACGACTCGATGTTGCGAGCGACCTCACCCTCAACAGGTGCAGTGTTTTACACGGACAGCCTCCGACGTCCAGTTGAAGCTCCGACAGCGACAGTTTGTTTCGCTCGATGGTCAATACGGCATCGAGTCGCGGCTCATTATTGGCAGCTGGACACGCGCCCAACGACGTACGTTCTTCAAGTTGAAGCTGCGATTCACTGTACACGAGCCAAGTAGACGCCCCGGAAGGTCACGCGGGCCAAGTCGAGCGCCTCCCCACTTTGCAACTCGCAACGAACGATCACAAGGATCCGAAAGTCAGCTGTGGATATGGCGACGACAAACCTCATCAGCAAAAGCTGCTACAACGTTTTGCTGGACTCGATCCCGCGCCTGCGCTGGAGTCCCCAAAGCAACCGCTTTCGCTACAATGTGCCTGTGGCAGTTGAGCCGGGGGCCAACGGCTTTGTGCTGCTGCAGGCACTCGAGCACTCGGACTCGCTGTGCTCACAGAGACTGTCGGGCAAAGAGCGGCACGAGTTGGAGGAGATGGAGCGCGTCAATCGTCTCATCCACGACGTCGAGAACGCGGTGCATCTGCACGAGGCAGTGAAGATGCTGGAGCACAAGCGCATGCACCACGAAGAGTTCCACGAGCGTCCGGAGACTGACGACGACATGCGCACGCAGGCGCTCAAGAAGAAGGACATGTTGTGGCAGCACCACCCGCACAAGCGCTCGTTCGAAGGGCGACGACAGAAACGCGCGCACGTGGGGCGCGTGCACCAACCCAAGTGAGCGCCCGAGTCGCCCGATCTCTGGTGAGAAAAGAGTATGCGACGTAATGGAAGAGAGATACGAAGACGAGTCTGGAGATGAACGCGTAACTGCGGTGCGATAGGTGCAAGAACGTGGAGTGCAATTTATCGGTATGAATGCCGTCTACCCACACGTGTGTGTGTGTATGTGTGTTGCTGATCCATTTGACTTCGCTCAATCTGTTCAATAGCAATCGGCTTATGTCGGTAGAGCTGTGCAAGAAATCACAGTGTGATGACTCTCGAGCCAGTGAGCGGTGTCTGCACATTGTCCGCTGTCTGTGCCGCAGCCCCACCTCGGCGATCTGCATACTATTGACCGGTTCGTCCAACGGAAATGCGCGTGGGTCGTGGAGGTCACTATATGTTACAACACGAATCCGCAGCGGTCAACAATTTGTAACCGGTTGCCAGCCGCAGATCTTTCAATAAGTTTTCTTTCGAAATGTTGTGGCTCCAGTAGCTTGTCAAGTGTGTCCACGAAGTTCCTTCGGTTGCCGCCAAAAATTGAGCTTATTTCGGCAAAGTCAAAATAAGTTTCTAAGCAAGTGCTTTTTTGTAGTTTAGACAGGTATCCTGCTCAACTACGTGTCAAGGGGAGTTCGGACGGTAGGTGCGTTGCAGATACTAAGTTGGAGGTCGCGAAGGACTCTATAAGCGCCTAGGTGACTTTCATGGGATACATTAGCAGGAAGCACGTATCAAAAAGGAAGTTGATCTTCGTGGCGATGGTAAACATGTCTGCGTCAGGTGTGGTGCACCATATCTCCACTGCCCCCCTCTTCTCAGCCTCCTTTGCCTCTTTCAAATTTTCATTCCCGATCATGGTATAAATGCGCTTCCGAAGTCGTCATAAGATCCCAAACACGCAGCTGCTTGATTCGTGCTCTCAACTACAGCTTCAACTTACTTTCCGCTTCTTCACTGTGTGGTGGAGTATTGTTCACAAATACCTTGTGACCCAGACTCCCCACTGAAGCCCGGACGACCGACTAAAGGAGGTGGTACCCCGGTTCCGTGCTCTGTGTCGTCTTGCTCACCTTGTGTACCCGTCGGTGGGGCGGGTGGCGCTCTTCTTGATGGACTTGAGCTGAAGCTGAACTTGACCGTTTTAGGGATAGGGGGAGATCGGGTGAAAATTCTTCACCGGTCAAACTTAGGGACGGACCGCATGGAAATTCTTCACTCAATCGCTTGAAACTTAGGACCTCTCATAGAGTCGCCTTTGCCAAGGGTATTTCTTGATGCGCGAGCCTTCTGACCACTTGAGCCGTCTCGCGATCTTAAATCCGAACCGTGAGAGTTCCCTGCGTCCGATCGCAGTTGGGGGGGGGGGTAAAAACTGATGTTCCGCCTGGCCACACAACCCAAGGGCGAAGCTTGCAGAGACGTGGGTGACTCCTTATTCAACCGGAGGTCAAAGTTCCTGCCCGGGAGAAGTCAACGCGTGTCTTTCGTTGCAAATTCAATTATGTTTAGTGTCAACCAACCAAGTTCAAAACGTATGATATACTTATCTGTTCGCTAGGTCAACTGTTGTGTATCGCCTGTCTATGTTATTCACTTCTTGCCTCATGTGGTCTACAGCAGACACTCCGTATTGGATCGCTCCATAGTGGATCGCTCTATAGTGGATCACTCCATAGTGGATCGCGGTATGTGATTTACACCAATTATGTGATCCACACCGATCAGCAGTACACACCCAGGATAGATCGTGGTCACTCGGTTGCGTCTTCGATCGGTCATCCAAGGTCGGATCGCCGTCACGTCCTAAACTTCGCATACTTAATTATCTTGACGATCCACTCTTCCAGCTAGCTTCCATATTCACCTATATCCCATTTCCATTAGCGATCCAGTACTCCAGGTGATGTTCCTCCCTGGAGTGACCCAGTTCTTGTACGTTGGTGTACCAAACCTTCGATCGCAGGATCGCGATCGGTCAATCGTCGAGCCTTGACTATACTCCTTCTTGACCGTTAGGTAGATCAATCTGCATAACTCCCACTGTCATTTCCCGTCACTCAGTCGTGTGACATCATCATTCGTGCCAACGGGCCTATCTCCGAGAGAACTTTACCAATCAAATCAATCCCGCACTTGATGCAGTAGGCGTGATCCACACTTTCCATTATTATTCTTCTGCACTTTTCCCACGCTTCTTCAACCTACCTTGTAATTTAAACAGTTGACAATGGTAGTGGAAGAGATCTCGTTCCAGACAGCAACTAGCCGCGCGATGATAGCGAGTTGCTCGACTTTGTCAATGAGTCGGGCACTTCGTCGCTCGCGGCAATCAACCGCATATTGCAGACGGTAGCGGCGATACAGCTGATTGATTGATGCAATGATGCTGGTATTTATCGGCTGGGTCTTGGACGTCGTCTTTGATGGAAGCAGAAAGGCCTTTACATCAATTACCTCCGGATTATCCGTGATATGCGACGGGGCTTTGTCGGCAAAAACAACACACGTACCTGTATTGATTTGTCCACATTTGTAAGCCACAATCGCCACCAATCCCTGGTGTTTTTCGGAGGAGGACCCCAAGTGCTTGGCTTGACGTTTTGTCAAGCACCTGAACTTCTTCGCTTTTCCAATGAAAAAGGCGGCAGCTCCTCATGTCCATCGATATTTGAAGTGAGCGCCTGTGACAGCGTTGCAACAATGCCGAACTTCTTCGTTGCCAACGAAGCCAGTGTCGTTTAGATTAAACCCAAAATATTATCCCTTTTGCTTGCACATTTGCAGACGCTGTCTACTCTCAAGCCGAGGTAGCGAAATCTTCAGCTGTTAAGATAGTGCATCAACGAGCAAGAGAATGTTAAACACTGTATTTACATATGGCTTTCGAAGAAAAAGCGATAATACAGAAAAAAAAGTACAGGGGCGTGTCTGACACCTTTGAGTACATGTAAAATTGATCAGGCACTTATGACTGACATTCTTTGCCAGCTTCCTGATTTGTAAAGCTGGATCTCTAGCTTGTTGTAGGAGAAGGTTAGGGTGGTCCGTTTGCTCACGTCATCTTTTTTGTCATTCATAAACATTTGTTTTATAGATGATGCACACAGACCAATAAGTCGTTGCCTCTTTTAAATTAACAAAATTGTCTATAACTGTACCCCCAGTCTCTAATTTTCGACGAATCCGTCGGATATTCGGAAAGAGGTAGACAACGAGTACTGGCTGGTGACAGCTTGGCCCCCAGCAGTACGACGGACTGCACGCCGCCCAAACGGCTTCCCCCGATGGGGGGAGAAGAATGAACGGCCTCCAGAGTCTAGTGTCCACCATACCCTCCCAGCCGGCGAACAGACGTTCAAGGCTGCCCGTGTCACTATGCCTTCTTTAGGTGAAGCAGACGGCGGGGCTGGAAGTAAATGCCACGGCTTGCGCAGCCGGATCAGGGCCATCCTTCACGGGATGGCACTCTCCGCTCGCTCCCGGGCTTTCATCTGTACCCAAATACAGACTGGGATAGAAGAGACGGAGTTGGGGTCACATGACAAGAGCTCGCGATCTGCTGTCACCAAGGACGAGCATCAGAGACCGCGATCATAGGCATCTGGGAGTGGCGATCAGGTCGTCGAAGCCTCGACGACCCCTCCGCCGGCACCTTCCCCTGCATATATGTTCCAGGCATTGGTAACGGAAATGAAAAGCCACTCTGGGACGGGTCAATTGGAGTCCTGGCTACAGACGATTTTTGAGCTCTTCGCGATGGATCAAAGGACGATGCGGGTTAATTCTGACGCGCTTCCAGGCTCCGAAAAACGTTCTCGCGTCTTATAGCGGTGAAGGCGGCTATTCTCTTTAAATTGTGTGAACAAGTGTTCGTCACGAGCACTGTCACTCATCAAGACTGGATGTGTATTACAACTACCCTCTGCAAAGAGATTGTATCGACTAAATGGGCGTTTACAGAACTTATTCGTCGACTTTCCAGTCAGCACAAGTGGGCTCAGGCTCCAGTTTTAAATCAGTGGGCGCATATCGCACGCGGGGGTTCGATGACGTCAGCGGGGATGGATGGACCCGCGGCCGGCCGCACGTATGCGGATTTATGTTTAATGCCTCGCAGTTCTCGAAGAAGGAGATAATTAAACTTCTATCGTTCTGTGAGGACCGGAATCCCGTCGGGCCTTCTCCACGTTTGCGATAATAGCCAATGATGTGGGGGCAGCGGAAGGGGAAATTACATCCCGGCGTATTCCACACTTGCTTCGGTCCGTTTTGGAAAGTAAGGAGCGCATCCGGCTATACAGTACGGTGCAGGCGCAAGTCGAAGGTCAACTCATCCTCCACCTCGGTCGCGAACGTGGCATTTCAACCAGAAGGCAGACTACCCGGGCGATCACTGAGACTAGTCTCGAATTCGCAGGATTGGCTAAGGTCAATCTGCCCGAAATTCATCGGGTTTTTGGTCTGACCAAGACTATAAACTTTTATCGCGCGACGAAGTCAATCCATTTCTTCTTTTTCTCTAGGGAAACCTCGGTGCGTCTTAAAGAAGCGCGGATCATCTTCAAGGGAAGTGTGTACACCTTGTCGAACGCTCAATTTCCCCAGCTTGGAAACGTTTGGAGACATCAACAAGGTTCGTCAGGCAGGGTGTGAAAGCAGCGGGCTGAGTATACAGTCATACTTTATAATCTAACACGTTTCAACGAGGTTGGTCAGATAGCGGCTTTTCATAAGTCCAAGATTCATACGGACTTCGAGTTCGAGGACCTCAATACGTACTTTCCTATGTCTCGCACATCAACTTCATGGAGATTCAGCTTTCAGCTGGCTGGGTGCCTTACCTTTCTCCACGGCGTGGCTCGAATTTTGTGGTTTGGGACGCCGATCATCATCCAACATCCGGATATAAGCGGTGTATTCAATGCCTGTAATGTAGGAATCTTAATCACACTGCAGCTAGATGTGAGTATACAGATGATCAGTTGAAAGGGCTTGGTGGGATAGAGGTCA